GGGTTGCGAAACCGCTCTCCAGATAATGCCCTTGGCCCAAGGAACCTACTATCGCTGGAAGTGTCATTCTGAAGCTGCAATGGGAAATAATATCGATAAGGTCATATCTTGAATCTTGGCACCAAGATGCAGAACTGAAGCGAACGCTCGGCTTGGCGACGTGCCACGTATCGCCTTCCTGATTGGCTAATTTGACAAGCATTATTTAATGTCTGTATGTTAAAAAGCACTCGGTGGAATGGGTGGTGCCACAAATAAGGGCGATTATTTGTGGCGATGGCAACTCCAGGCGACGAGCCAGGCGTCGCGTTTGCCACGTCGGATGACAGCGCGCCGGACAAGAAGGCCGCGAAGCGCAAGTCGCAATACCGTCCCGAGCACGGCCTGCAGTTCGGCGTGCGGCCCATGTCGGACCCGCCGGTGCTCAAGGTGCAGTGTCTCTTCTGCGTCCACTTTGGCCGCGAGATCCTCGAGCCCGAGAAGCGCCTGCGCGAGGCGACCAAGAACGTAAAGTACTGGCGGCCGCCGTACCGCGCCGAGCTCTACCACAAGCACCACCAGCGCCAGCACTTGACGCTGTACACGGCGTACGAGCGCCTCTCGCACCGTGAGAAGGTCGCCTTCTTTTTGCCCGAGAATGTCGCGCGCCTGCGCCAGACGACGACCGGCGCCAAGATGACCGCGCTCAAGCACGTCACTGTCAATCTCTCCGAGCCGCCGTACATGTGGAAGCAGCTCTTTGACGTCCCCGTGCCCCGGCATTTGCACGCGCTCGCCGACTCGTACTCGCAGCAGGTGCTGGCCGGGCCGCCGCTCGAGCCGCGCTGCCAAGCATTGTGCTCGCTCGCCATGCTCATGGGCCAGCCGCACATGAACGCGAGCATGTTTGAGATGCAGATCTCGGCCGCGCTCTCCAACAACGTGCCTCGCCTCGATATCGTGCACGTGATCCTCACGGCCGCGCCCGTCATCGGGGTCCCTGCCATGCTCTCGGCCCTCGAGCTTGCCCACCGAGTGTTCACAGCTGCGTCCGAAAGCGACGAAGAGGAAGCCGGCGATGGCAGCGACTCGCCGCAAGACGTCACTGTGTAAGCTAACGACTAGGCCAAGTGACCCGTTTGATATCAAGACAGCGCATCCCATAACAAGACGTCCAACAAAATTGCTAAATTGACACTTGACAAATGCACGTCAAGACCTCGAGGCGTGGGCGGGGCAGTCGTTGACGTCACCGGGCTTGCATAAATAACACGGACGTTAGTTCGCTCACAGCGCTGTCGAGCAGGCTCCGAGCTTTTCACGCAAGCGCCGGAGTTCGTGTTCGAGGCGCGAGTTGCTGTCGTGGGCAGGAGGCTCCTTGAAGCCGGCCAGCTTGGGCGGCCGTGCCGAACGGTCGTTCTGATACATGTTGTATACGTGCAGGGGCGCCATGGTCTCTTGTGGCTGGTCCCAGAGCGCCGGGTAGCTAAAGTCCATGGACGTGTCCATGCTCGTGTGGCTCGCGGCGCTGTTGTCGTAGGCGGGGACCTCCCTCTCGTAGGACGGAACGGGCGTCTCGGGCTCGCTTGGTGTCGGCGGCAGGCGCTTTGCAGTCGACTTGACATTAAGCTCGTCGTTGAGAAGATGCACCGTTGCGCTGAGCTCTTGGTTCTCCGCCTGTGTTTGCTGAAGGAGCTGCCGCAGGTTGGTTGCGTCGTTCTCGAGGGTCGCGACAGCCTGCTCGTGCGCCTCCCGCTGCTGTTGGAGCTCGAGCTGTTGGAGCTGGACAGTCTCGCGCAGCGTCTCGACTTGTGCTGCAAGCGCGTCCAAGGCCGCCTGATGGTTCACCTGCACCATCTCGAGCATCTCCTGGACGTCCATCCTTCGGCTGCCAGCTTTGGTCGACGTCGCGTTTTGGCCAATGAGATGGCTCCAAGCGAAATGCACCAATGGTCTTGCGAGAAACGCAGAATATTACGCTGTCGCCCAATCAAGTGCGAAAACCCTTTGGCTCCGCGCTACGAACGCAAGCAGGCGCCACGTAATGCCATGAAGCGGGGTCCTGCCACCGCGATAAGCTCTCGTAATGCAGTTGCAACGCGTAGCGCCGCAGCGTGCATTGCAGACGCGTAGGATCGGCAAACGTCGCTCGGCAAGGTATTCAGCAGCGCTTACGACATGGCGCGAGCAATGCTCGGATATACTCGAACAAACCACTTCGTCCTCTACACTCTGAATGAATCAAGTTCAAGGTCATGGCACAAACGGTAGAGGAAGTTCTTTCATGCGCTGGACCCTCGTCAATGCAACGGTGGGGGGCACTGACGTGGCACGCCACGGGTGTACCATCAACGGCTCAATGGCTCAGTCCTCACGCCGCCAACGACGTCGCCGCGAACCATGTGGGGACGCCGTACGCGGCGACCTGGCGTGCGCTCGCAACGCCACTCTCCGCGTCTCTACGTGCCTACTATTTGTCGATGAGTAATTTGTGGCAATGGTTGAAATGCACGCAATTCACAAATTTCCCGAATTTCTCGGGAGCGAAATACGCACATCGTTTTGGCCAATCGGCAGCGCGCACGCAATGCATGGCCAATCCGCGCGCGTAAATGCTAGCATTTCTGCCAATCGCACGCATTTCTAAGAGAAAGTGCAGCAGGATGGACGGCGCGGTCGTGATCCGGGCCATGTACTTTGTCGGCGCGATCTGCATCGTCCTCGTCACCCTCGCGCTCGGATGGGTCGTCGTCTGGAAGCTCATGCTCTCCAAGATGAAGCTCGTGCGCGAGCTCCTGGACTTGAACCCGCCGACGTCGCCGCCACCCGCGTCCAAGCCCGCGTCCTTTGACGAGCGCCTCAAGCAGTACAAGGTATTTCGCCCATGGCGCCTCGATCTCGCTGGCGCACGACGTCATCGTCTTTGTAGGAGAATCCCAAGCGACGTCAAACCGGTAGTAGTTTACTTGCGCGCGAAGAGGATTAATCGACTAACTAACACCAACACGAACGTGCTACGCAGTGGGCTCTGTCGAGGACGCATTTGCCTTCTTCTCGAGGGCGAGTTTGATGCGCTCGGTGAGGCTCGTCGCCTCCTTGCTAATCGTGTCCATCGCATTGTCGTCGGGCTCGGCGGGAGCCTGCCGTGGTCGGACCACGGCGCAGTCGTCCGGTAGCGTCCAGAAGCTGCGGCCATATGCGACGTTGTAGTAGAACGTGCGCTATGCATGACGTCAGTCGCGCCTTATCCCGCTCCCCATCGCATTACCCCCGTCGCTGCGTCGACATGCTCCGTCCAGAGGCCGCGCTTCTCGGCCATGGCTGTGAATATCAAGTGCTGCAGGCTTGATCTATGCGATCTCGGAGGTTCCCAAGTTGGCACATCAGATATCAACCATGCACCCAGTCGCATGTGCAGACCACTCGGCTACAGCTCTCGGCTACCTGTCTGGCCATCGCTTCCTCTCACCTCGTGTCCAGTCCGACTTTGCCTTGTCAAAATGGCGCCAGTATGGACGGTTCGATCAAGTGGCGACATTATCCTACAAGCTACTTTGCCCACTCGGCCGCCGCTTTCTCTGCTTCGATTGCGCACCTCCACGCTGGCACCACTCGTGAGTCGGACTCAGGAGGCGCATATATTAGATTGTCCCCTGGCCACTAAACCAAAACAGCAGTGTTTCGCTCTCGCCCACCGAAGCGTGAGCTGCCTTCGATCTCGTTTCAGAACCCGAGCTCGCGATCAGAGCTACGATCAGGCAAATATGATGGGGTGGCTACCCTATTTGTGCTTCGTAACCCAATATTCGTGCGCAGGTTTATGTTAGAACTTGCTAGTCGATTTTGCACCCATCATCAAAACGGTATCAAAGGGACGACGTAGTGGACGCACGAGTTCTTAGTTTAAACATCAATAATGTATCGCGAGGTGGATCTAATTTATACAGCGTTGAAGCGGTGGTCTAGCGGCAAGTCGAGGAGCACAGACAGAATGTGGAGCTCTTCTTGCGTCCAGGGCTCGGGCAGGCTCGTCCAAGTGATCGGCGCGATCGATGGCAGTTGCGACCACCAGACGCTCTCGTCGTCGTCATCGGGCGACGAGCACAGAATCGATGAGAGCGCGTCGTCGCTGTCGTCCATGGATGCACTGCGCACCGGCGACACCATGGTCGCGATGTGCGGCTCGTTGCGGAGCGCGCGGCGAAGTCGTCGGCGCTTGGTGTCCGACTTGCGCTGGTTCTTGTTGTGCAAGAGGCGGTGCTCTTCGCAGAGCGTGTGGGGCTCGCCGTTCTCCTTGATCGTCCGCTCGTTCATGCAGCGGCCGCTCTTGTACTTGCAGCGGCCATGCGACGCATTGCTGCCGGCAAAGGTCGTAGTGTTCATAATGGTCTTCTTGGCGTAAATCGCAGACGCCGGGGAGAGCAAGGACGAGGAAGAAGCGTAGCTCAAAGGCACCTCGATCGTCGTTGTCGTTGCCAGCATAATTGAAAAGTGATCGTCGGCGGCGCAGTGCTTTCGTGCCGGTCGGCGCCATTCCAGCTGGCGTGTAAAATTTGACAAACGTACAGTACGAATATTTGGCGAAACCGTTGTCCCACTCTCTCCGGATACGAAACGCGGACGCCCCACGGTCCTTTGACCTCCGTGGACACGACGGCAGAGAGTCTTGCGACGTGCGTGCAAAGATTTGGAGATGTTCCATGCGTCCGACAGGGGCCCGATGAGATGCTTCCGTGCTCTGGTCGGCGACGAGAGTACGCAATGCAAGTCGACCGCTCGCGACGCCACGTGTGGGATCGCGGAAAACAGACTCGCGGCACGACTGTATGTGTCCCCAATTGAAAGATTTTGGGCACCCATTTCTACTCCGCCCGTTACTCACCGACGCAACGTGGAGGACATGCCATCATACGCTTTTCCCGCGAAAATCAATAAACGAGCCATGGTCGATATTCGAACGATAGAAAAAGAGAAGAAAGCAAAAAGCTATGCTGTCGCAGAGATACTACGATCGATGAACGTCTCTCTCCCGCCACTACGCTCCGCGGTCGAAGCCCAGGATCTACTGGCGCTGAAGCTGTGCGTCCCCAACGCGACTCGTCAAGCAATCGACGCGGCCATGTTCCTCGCGATCGAACGCGGTCATCTTGGCGTCGTACTGAGCCTCTTGGAGCACACGCGCGTCCGGTATGTGTACGTCGAGCACGCGGTGGCTTGTGGCCAGGTGCGCATCGCACTGCATCTGAACCAGCGCGCTGGCGATGCCGTGTGTGCTGTTACGAGCCCGACGACTTGCCCGCGAAATGAAAAAGAGGATGATCGCCCGGCGATGTGGTCGCTGGCCAAGCACTTGCTCTCGAGCCCGGCCGTGTGAACGAGTCGGAAGTGTATGCGTCGTTGACAGTGGGATATGTTGACATCCTTGTCCGCCGAGCAAAACCATAATATTACAAAGACGCAGTCACGCTGGCTGTCACACGCTGCTGCTGCTCCAATCGGATGAGAAAAGCGACTCTGCGTTTTGGACCAGAGGCAGCTGGCAAACGGATCTTTCCGTGACTTGCGTGTCAAGAAATTTTCGTCCCCTTTGCGCAACGATGGACCTGATATCCAAGCAGGTTCCAACCCCAAAGAGGGTGGGTGTGCGGTCTAGGTAAGTGCTGAGTGTCCGCGATCGAGCCGGCCCGTTGAAAAGTTCATGACACATTACGTTGCCACAGACTTCTCGCTGCGATTGCAAACGTTGTGGCGCTTTTTTCGGCCTCAAAAGACGATCCCACCTATTTGTTTTGGCGCGTAGGACAGAGCGCCCTTCTAGTCAGCTGCCGTCGTAGTACCACGAGACGCAAGGCAACAACACCGAGCTGTTGGACCAGACGGGCGCTTGCACGGATTGAGGCGGCTTGCTTTATCAGCAGTGGTCGGCCACCCCATTCCGATCGCTGAGACTGAGGACTGTTGTAGAAAGGACCATCGTTGAAAGAGCGACGACAGTCGACAGCATCACAGGGAGCGACGCTGCTCGGGATGGCCGTTCGCTGTCACAAGCAGATCCACACCATGCGTGGTCTGCTTGCAAAGTGGCGCGAAGCTTTCTGGTGTCATTTAGCATGCAGAGGGCCTTTGTGCGTGTTCTACCGCGACGGGCATGCGAGCTTAGAGCCTAAATGTGTGTTGTCGTTGGTGGCTGGACGGCCACACGGGACTCTACCTCCGACAATAATGTGTTCGGCAATCCACGCGTCCTATAAGATCGTATCGTTGGATACTGGTGCAGTGCAGGGCAGTCGCAACACGTCACAACCAAGAAATGCAGGTCGATGGTTTCGACAAGGACGGGACATCTCAAGAAACGGGTGGTCTACTCCAACACCGTCACCGCGCCACGACACCGCCGTGTAATGAATGCCAACCATATTACAACGCCACAAGCTCAACGGCCCGTGCAACGACGCTCGTCGCCACGAGCTATCGACGCTCCATTTTCGCGCAATCGAGCGGTCGACCTCATCTCTGCCATGCACAACGACATCCCTGCGTCCTGGGAGTAGTAGTACGTATACCCAAAGAGGGTGGTTGGATGTCCAAGGGCTTGTTTCGTGACCCTTGCTGCACATCGCCGCCATCCCCGTCCATATATTGCGTCAACATCCACCAACCGATGAGAAAAGCAGCGACGACGACCGTGGTGCTGCGGGGCCGAAAGAACATCGCCGGTGCAACGAGGTCGGCACCGAAGGATTCCGCGTCGTCTCGCTCGTTGGCGGAACCGACGCCATTCGCTGTGGAGCAGGACAGTCAACTATCACTGCGATGGAAGCCGCGTTGCGACTCGCGACAAGCCTGTTGACAGTACTCGCCAGACGGCGTACACTGTATAACGCCACAGTGACACGGCCTTGCCGCTCTCGGATTGGTCAATATCCGCTTGCTGCTTGGCTCTGATTGGCGCCATTCGGCTTGAGCCAAAGAGACAGCGTGCGTCCGGACTGGCGCGGACGACTTCTCGTATGAGCTCCGCCATCGCGCACGTCCTAAGCACGCCCGAGCTCGTGCTGCACATTGCGGCCTACCAAGCTGGCGCGTGGCGCGACTTCATTGCGCTGCGGCCCTTGGCCATCGTCGACTTCCAGGCGCGGCTGAGTCCGATGGCCAGCACCTGCCGTGACTTTTGGCTCTCGTACGAGCGCACCGACTTTGTGCCGACGCTGCGCCGCATCGACGCCGAGTTCCTCACGCCATGGTACCGCGGCTACGGCCTCGCGCGCGTCCTGCGCTACATCGACGCTTACGGCTACCGCGGCTTCTTCACGCTCCTCATCGACGCCGTGCACGCGGGCCGCCTGCCCGTGCTCATGTTTCTGCACCATACGTACGGCAGCGGCTGCGACGTGCAGCACCTCGTGGACCTTGCGGCGTGCAGCGGTCATCTCGACGTGCTCACGTTTCTGCATCAGAACGGGTACAATGGCTGCAGTACGAGCGCGATGGACGGTGCGGCCGCGCTCGGGCACTTGCATATCGTCCAGTTCCTCCACGAGCACCGGCAAGAAGGCTGCAGCGTCCAAGCCCTTGATTTCGCAGCTCAGAACGGGCACTTAAACGTTGTCAAGTTTCTCAAGACGCACCGCAACGAAGGCGGGACCCCCGGTGCGATCGACTTTGCCGCGCAGAATGGCCACTTTGACGTCGCCGACTATTTATCGCAGTTTGAAGCCCAGAAACCCTCCAAGCTCTGGATGCGCTTCTACTGGGTACGGCCGGGCGAGAGTCTCTGGCGGCATCAGCTACTGCTCGTGTTGCTCCTTGTCTTGAGCGTCTCGGCGCTCGGCGTCATCATGGCCTTTAGCCCGCTTCAAATCAACGCCATCGTGCTTCCCCTCCTCGCGCTTATTGCGATCTATGTCGGCGTTCGCTGCCTCCACCGATAGTACTAATGTTATGCTATAAAGCACCTCCATTGTGCTGTGTCAACTTCCCGTCTTCCGAGTTGACATCATGACCACTACTGAATAGGTGAATTTCTATCCTTGTCTTCAAATTTCAAGGTTCGAAAGTGCAGGAAAAGGTCCTTTTTACGCCTAATTAGGCAACTAAGCCGAAATGTAGATCGATTTCAGGATTGCGACTAATTCCGTTGTAACCGTTTGTGTACTAGATAAGGCAATATTCGGCACTGGACCAGGATATTGCCATTGCCATGGCGCTGGAAGGGTGGATAGTACGCCATGCGCCCGACGTCAACCTCGTCGACACCCCCGTCTTCCTTTGCGGCCATGGCCTAGCCTACGCGCTCGTGCATTTGGCCCACGACGCCTGTGATGGCGACGGCGCTGCGCGCTTTGAGCTTGCACTCGCCGCTCTCGACGCCTCGGAGCCCGCGCTCGAGTGGCATGTGCTTCCGAATGGCAGCCTCGTGCACACGTATGCCTACCCAGTCGACGCGCCGCGCCGCTTGCACCAGAAGACGCCGCCGTACGAAGTCCTTCTCGATCCATCCGACGCCACAGTCGCGTACCTCTGGACGTGGTATCCCTCGAGGCTTTACCGCCTGCGCGTCGACCTGCGCGCCGGCGTCGCCTTGGACAAAATCATGGCACTGCCCATCGAGCCCGAGACGAGCTATTTAGCCAACGGCCTTCTGTATCTCGTCTCCGAGGTGGAAGACGATATCGTCGTCGATGTGGCTGCGTGGACAACTTTGACGAGACGAGAGCCACCGCCGCTGCACGCCCGCGTTCTGCCGCCAACGATGCGCGATACCATTGCTACGCGAGGAGCTCTTTCGTTGGCACAGACCCCCGAAGGTCTTTGGGTTGAAGGGCTCGGGCGGCCGCGGCTCTTGACAGCCAACGACGACGTCGAGTGCGTGGCGTGGACCAGCGACGACGCCATCGTGCTCACAGTGCTCGAAGGCGACACATGGATGCGCCGGTTCGTGCATCTTGTCGATCTTTATGGCTTTCTCGAAGGACTCGACTGGGAAGATTCGGCCACGGCTCTGCGTGCGCACGTCGACTGGCTGCGTCAACCGCGGCTTGCGCTCTCGGCTGCCGACGAGACCGACGTCGACCGTGTCGTGTCGGTCAACATCGAGCACCGCACGCACTGGGCTCTGCACTGCCCGGCAGACGACGTTGTGCTTCTCATCGACCCCGCGACGCAGGTCTGTCATCATGTGCTCCAGCGTGCGAGTGCCATCGATGACGTCCTCGGGCTCCTTGCTGCCATGAGCAGCCATGTGACGTGGGCAACCCCCTGCCTCCTCTCCACAACACCCCAGCTCGCCACGATGGATGTTAACGACGTAGCCACGTACTGGCCGAGCCCGGCGGCGATGATACAAGCAAAGCGCTTGGCGTATCGCGAGCCTAGAGATGCTCGCCATCGCCTCGTAGGGCTCTCTGTATCCCTGCACAGCGGTTTCCTCGGCCTGAACGACCTTGCCAGCGTACTGTACGCCGCCCCGAGCTTGCGGAGAGAGGTGCTTGCACCCAACAGCGCCGGTCGGAGCCAGGCACGGGCGCGACTCGCAACCCTCATATTTCTCAGCCGCGCTGGGTCGGCCAAGTACCAAGCGTTGGCAGCGTCGCTGGTGCTCTACCTCACCTCTGTCGACGACGACCAAGTGGACGCGCTGGATCTGCTCGTACGAGACACTGTTATTGCGACTAGCAACTAGAAATTTAGAAAGCAACATAGTACCACAGAGCGATTACTCCACGCAGCCTCGTTGGTGCGATTGTCGAATTTCATAGTAGGGCTAGGTGTGCACTGGCTTGCGAAGCTACGGTTTCGACGACAAAGGCACGTGCGGTCGTCATCCATTTCGAAATTCAGTGGCTACGTCATACGGCGCTGATGTACACAGCATGTTTGCCACGCAGCGCAACATATGCGGAATCGTGTGAGGAAAAACCAAGTGGGGATTTTTGGGCAAGTCAGCGTTACGCCGTGAAGACAATATTGTTAATAGAACTACGCACCACGTGCGTGGCTGGATCGCACCAATTTTCCGTGATATTCACAACACGATTCGCAGCCGCCCACGTAGGCACGTTGGCGATTGCGAGCCTCTTCGCTGTGTCGGTTGCGAGTCGGTCAGGACGCAACGGAGTCGAGTCGCTTGCACAAAGGCTTTGTCTTCAAAGATACTTCCGTTTTTACTAACGCTAGGACTGCGCAAGCGGCGGCTCATCTGCCGACCCTCTGGCCCCGGTCGGGTCCACGACGACGACCACGCTCCATGGGCCCCTTTCGAACGTCGTTTCCTAGAACTAAGAAATATGAGGTGTCCGACGAGTAGTAGCAGGCGTTGGGTGCGACCTCAAACTCGAAGCTCTTCGGTTGGCGGACGTTGGCAGAGACATCGCTGCACAAAACATTGCGTGAAGTCCCCGTTCCATCCTTCATCAATAAAAATTACAGTCTGCAGCGACTATGCACGGGCGGTCTTCGATTGCATGGGCACGAGCGGCCGCAAAACCAAGCGTCAGTTGCATACGACCTCCGCCTAATGTCCATGTAGCCAAAGTCTCCAAGTTCTGTGTACACATGGAACAACTTATTTGTTAACTTATCGCGAAATGTGCTGGTTCTCGGGGCGTTCAAACATCGGGTCGAACATCTCGCTTTGGTTGATCGGGTTGCGCTTTCCGTTGGCAAACGTGAAGCGGTGCGCCCGCCAGTCGGCGCCGTCTTGCGCTTCGAAGCGGAAGATGTCTTCGCGCTTGGCCTTGTTGAACTGCACGTCCGGGTGGCGCGACGCATAGCGGGCCATGGTGTACGAGCCGCCTGAGATGGCGCAGACGATGATGCCCATGATGGGGTAGCACGCAGGGTCCGAGAGCCACGTGCGTGCGAACGAGTACGAGCGCTGGGCAGCGACCATGGTGGTGGTGGTGGAGAACGAGTCGATTGAAGAATGATGAGGCGACTGACGCGTCTGATGAAGCCGAAGACGTCAAGCGCAAAGACGTGGGCGTGCTGCATGTCTAGCGAGCGCTGTCAAATCTTTCACACCATTGAACCTCTGGTCTCGCGATCTTGATCCAGGTGCAGCCAGCACATCGCAGGACCAGAGAGAGCCACTCTCAGCACTCTCTCGAACACTCTGCCGTTGTGGTAGACTGACTATATACCCGTTGCTCCTAGTAGAATAATCTTATGCTGGTTTCCTGTTGGCTGGCGGGACACGAACTTACCTCAACTCAACACAGTGTCGGACAAGGGGCGCAAGGGTTGTTGAAAGTCCATACGTTGCTCCTGTGTCCGACTATCAGTTCTGAGTGCCACAAAATTGTATTTCTAGCGGCACAAGGTTACTTCTCGTACCATACGAATGTAGGGTGGGGCCTGCGCGCTCTATGGTAAGTCTGCTCGATCCATGGAAGGCTTGCTTGCATCAGTTTGGTGGGGGCGTACGATGCTCTACTCTCATGCTCTCTCTTCTCACACTCTCACATTACCTGCGCTTTTTGCACTTGAAGTAGCCAATCAGCGCCCGCGACGCAAGTTGAAGTGCAAAGAAGCTGCAGGTCGTGCACAGACATGCCAGTCAACTGAGTCGCTCGGCTGGCATATCTTTGTACGCGCTGGAGGCTGCCAGCTCATGGCTGCGTCAGTCGCCTCATCATTCTTCAATCGACTCGTTCTCCACCACCACCACCATGGTCGCTGCCCAGCGCTCGTACTCGTTCGCCCGCACGTGGCTCTCGGACCCTGCGTGCTACCCCATCATGGGCATCATCGTCTGCGCCATCTCAGGCGGCTCGTACACCATGGCCCGCTACGCGTCGCGCCACCCGGACGTGCAGTTCAACAAGGCCAAGCGCGAAGACATCTTCCGCTTCGAAGCGCAAGACGGCGCCGACTGGCGGGCGCACCGCTTCACGTTTGCCAACGGAAAGCGCAACCCGATCAACCAGAGCGAGATGTTCGACCCGATGTTTGAACGCCCCGAGAACCAGCACATTTCGCGCTAAACAGCGTCGGTTCATAATGACACTCCGTATTTACATTCAACGCGTTTTTGGTTCCATACTGGTATGCTACACATTTCCTCTCCTACGATATGCTCATCAGTGGCAGCACTTACGAGGTCCCTTGTAGCCATTTGAACGTTAACGTTAAATTAATATATAGCACGTTATGTCCCCAACCCGTCCGACGAGGCTGTCGTTCAACTTCTATTTTGGCCAAGAAAGTCCATTTAAGAAAATCCATGAGGAGTCTGAATCAGTGGATGGATCAAGCCTCGCGGCTGCTACCAGCGTCGTGGCACCTCTCACCGCGCGCGAGTGCCGAGCTGGACGTGCTCGTGCGGCTTGGAAGCCACATTGCGGCCTCGATCCTCAGCACCTTTGCTCTCTCGGTCACGGCGCTCGTCATAGCAAAGCGCGTCGGAACGGCCGAGTACACGGCGGTCGCCTACGCCCAGCTCGTGCTCGATTTTACGCTCACCGTGTTCACACGTGGCTTCACGAAAGGCCTTCTGGCCCTCGCATCGCAAGCGTACGGTGCCCACAACCATGCGCTGATTGGACACTACACGCAGCTCACCGCGTTGTTGCTCACTCTTGTCTGCGTACCGCTGAGTCTGCTCTGGTACTACAGCTGCGGCAGTCTCCACGTCGTCGGGCTCGCGCCGGTGAGCGTTGCACTTGCTACGCAGTACGCGCGCGTCTCGGTACTGGGGCTTTGGCCGCGCCTCCTCTTTGATGTCGTGGCGGCTTCGTTTCAGGCCCAGCAGCTCGCGGCGTCCGCGGCCGTCGCGTCGCTTTGCGCAGTGGTTTTCAATGCGCTGTTGAGCATCCCCTTGGTGTTTGGCCTGTCTTGTTTGGGTGTACGCGGCCTCGGGGTTCTTGGTGGCCCGCTCGCGACGAGCCTCACGCTGTGGTGTCGGCTATTCGGGTATGGCTACTACATGCACCGCGTCACACCGCTTCAGTCGCTTTGGCAGTGGTCGCCGCGGTCTCTCTCGTTGGCGCAGCTGACCGCGCTTCTCTCTGTCGGCGCGCCGCTCATGCTCGGCGACTTCGTTGAAAATCTTCAACTCCAGATCATGACCATCTTTGCCGCCCTTCTCAGCGACGTATATCCGCCAAGAGTCTCTTCTAGCAAGCTCATGTTGGTATAGGTGTCGTTGGCGGCGCACACCACAGTGATGCAGATCGTATATCTTGTGACTTCGCCCATCTGCGGGCTTCACGACGCCGCCGTGAGCCGCATGGGTATGTACTTGGGGGCCGGCCACGCCGAGGCTGCTGCGTTCGTCAGCCGACTCGTCCTCGGCGCGATGCTGTTTACGTCCGCTTGCCTCGCGCTGCCGTGGGTGCTCTGCCGTCACTGGATCGGCTTGACATCGGATCCGCGCGTTGTCGACCTTATCAGCAGCGCGACGGTGCTGGCGGCCGTCGGCTACGTCGCCCTCTCGCCTTTCTTCTACGCCATGGTCACCTCCGCCGTCTCAAGCGCCGCTTCTGATGGCAAAGATGACGGCGTAGGCAACACTAAATGCGCAAGCTCGCACCGTGCCCATCCCGCGTACGTACTTTGTTCGAAAAATGACGTGGCGTCACCACGTGGCCAGGAGCGATTGTGTGCGGTGCATGGTTTGTGGGCGTCCCGACGGCGTATGCGCTGAGCCAGTTTGACAGCAGAGGTCTCCTCGGCGTCTATATGGGCATGGCGTTTGGGTCCGGTGTCACGACCCTCCTGGGCGTGTACTTCGCCGCCTTCTCAGACTGGGTCGCCGAGGCCGCCAAGGCCGTCGCTCGCACGCGCCCCTTTAAAGGGACTTTACCACTTCTGGCGACAGTCCAAGCAACCGACTACGGCGCCACAACCGACACCCTCCTCGAATACGACGAGGAATCTTAACACCAAAAGAAAATGCATCCGAAACACTATTCACGGAGGGCTAGGTTAGAAAAAGCGTGAACTCTACCGACGACGGCGCTGCGTCAAGACGTAGAGCCCAAAGATCGCAATCGGGAAGAGGTACCACCACAAGAGCGAGAAGCTCGGGCCGTCGCTGTCCGCTCCAGCGTGAAGGTTCTGGGCGCGCACGACCTTGAGCATCGGCGCCGTCGTTGCTGCGACGTTGCCCGCGGGTTCGTGGCTGAAGTCGCCATCGTCCACCGTTCGCTTTTGCGTCTTGGGCTCGGCAAGATACTTTTCAAACCCGTAGCTGGCCTTGAGCCAATTCTCAACCTTGGGCAGGACCCACGCGTCGTCACTCGACGTGTTGGTCGAGCACATGTCGCACACATTCGGCTTGGGCCACTGGTAGTGCCGGATGCGGCGGTTGACGCCGTTGTGCACCTTCCAGAGCCAGAGGTACAGCGCGCGGGCCTTGTTGCTCGGGGCTTCCATGTCGAGCAGGTGCATCGTGTCGAGTGTGTTGGCTGCGAGGAAGTGGTCGCGGCACGGTACGCACGTGAAGAAGTGTCGCACAAAGCGCCGCGCGGCGCCGACAACGGCGACCGCGAGCTCGGGGATGTGGGCGCCGGTCACGTCGTGGCCGTTGAGCATCGTCATCATGTGGAAGAGCGTCCACTGACCGCACGTGTAGAGCTCACAGGCCGCGTACTTGGTGCCCGAGCCTTCGAAGAGCGACGGGAGGTTCATCCACTCTTCGGTCACGCCGTGCTCGTTGACCATCGGATGTGCGTGGAAGGTGACCATGGACGTGGCCTGCCACGCCCCGACCATCGCCTTCCACTTGACGTCCGTGAGAAGCGACACGGGCAGAAGCGACTCGTACAGCGACCGGATGATGAGCCGGTACGTCGACCCGGGAAACGTGAGCGAGACGACGCGGATCCACTCTTTCAGCGCGTCGAGGGCGTCGTCGTCGAGCATTTGACGGCCGACAAAGACGCCGCCCTTGAGGCCAAAAACAAACGCGGTGCCAGCGTCGTGCACGCGCGTGGTCACGTTGGCCGGCAGCGTCGACTCTTCCCAGAGCGGCTTGAGCGTCGTGGGCGGCGGCGTCGTCGGCGGGTTTGTCTTGCCCTCGGGCGGCCACGTGCCCGTCTCGTTGTAGAGCTGGATGCGGAACTGGTCGGCGACCTACACATCAACCGCCGTTGTGGGTCGCCATCTGCGTCGAAGGACGTACGAGGCCAAGCACTTCGTCCATCGTGTGTTCGCCGACCGCGCGCTTGTTCTCGCCGAGCCACTTTTTGTCAAAGTTCCAGAGCAGCAGCGTCGGGAAGCCCTTGACGTTGTAGATCGAGCACTGGTAGTAGTCCATGCAGCTCAACGCGCCGACGTTGACGATGCCGAGGGGCTTGTAGTACGCAGCGATCTCTTCAAAGATGGGCACAAACTGACGGCAGTGCGGGCAGCTACACGTAGGTGTTAGGCGCGTTGGGCGAAAGCTGGGCGAACGCACTAGGGATGGTAGAAGTCCATGAGCCACGGCTTGCCGTTGCCGCCGTTCTTGACGAGCGTGTCAAAGTTGTCGTCGGTGAGGAACGTGATGTTCGGGTGCGACTCGTTGAAGAGCGGCTTGTCGTTCTCCTTGCCGGCGTCCATGGCGGTGAGGCCCATGCCGGCGACGGCGCCGACGGTCAAGGCCAACGCGAGGAGGCTGCGCAGCATCGACGGCAAAATCGGAAATGCTGCCCAATGAACGCGGTGCAGCGACTCGTAACACGCTGTGATTGGCCACAATTAGACACTCCAAAAACCGGTTAAACCCTTTACCCACTCCGAAGGCCGGACGTTCTCAGATGATCGGCCTGTTGGACCAGGATCTCCAACTGCACTCAGGTGGCCACGCGTCTAGTTGTTGCTGTTAGCTAGCAGCCGACGCCAAAAGGACGAGGCTTGGACGCCAGCAACGCGTCGCCGCTCTTGAAGAAGAAGACGGTGGTTTCTTCGAAATCGAAGGCCCAACGCCACTGCAGTTGGCGCCATGACCACTGCAGTTGGCGCCATGACACGCAAATCAACCTTTGATGTCAGTTAAACCCTGCCTAATGGGCTTAATCAGGGCTCAAATATGTACGTACTACTACGCTACACATTGTCAACAAACATATATTATGCACGCCTTGCCACGTGGCAAGACGACGACACCTGGCGGCGACTTGTTGGAGAGCGACGCAGGATGCATCGCTCGATTACTCGATGAGCGGGAGGGCGCCGTGCAGCCGCAGCTCCCACTTGGCGCCTTTTTTCATCGACGCATTCGTACACACCGTGTGGACGCGCCACGTTTTGACGTCAAAGACATAGATAACGTCCTGCTTTGTCCAGGTGAGGAGTCCGGTCAAGGCCGCCGAGGCGCGGTCGACGTGGTACACGCCGTCGTGAACCCACCCGGTCTTGTCAAAGAGGTACTTGGCGCCGCAAGAGAGCAGGTACGACGGGTTTTCCGTCGGTGGCTGCAGCGTGTAGCGCAGCCGATCGTGGACGTACATGGTGAGAGACCCGCCGAGCGCAATGGCAACGAGCAAAAGCAGACGCGGTAGGCTCCCAATGACAACGTCGCCGCTGGAACACACGGCTTGGTAGTCGGTCGCGTCGACCGCGCAGTGGAGCTCCAGGCGAACCCGGTGTGCGATAGGTGCAATAAGACTCAGAATTGCGGCGGTCGCCCACACAAGGATGGCCGCCTTGTTGGCATACGACGCCGTGTACTGCTGCGTGAAGACCATGCCAATGTCGTCGACGATGTAGACGAGCCAGCCGAGCTCGCCGGCCGCGAGCACTTTGGTGCAGAGAGCGAGGAACGGCGAGACGTCTTGGCGAGCCGAGAGAAGGTACGTGGCCTTGCCGGTGAGCTGGAGCTGCAGCGCGGCCGTGCTGAGGATGCAGAGCGCTGTTACGCTCCGCAAAAGCAGCAGCGGGCGGCCGATCCAGACCATGCCACCGACGCGGTTGACCTCAAAGAGGTTGAAGCCCTCGCTCGTGAAGCGGTTCTGCACCGTGTACAAAATCGCGACGAGAGATATCATGAGCAGGAGGAGCGAGATGTACTGGCAAAAGACGCGGAGGTACGATGCTACGTTGACGGGCACCTCGGCCGCGCTCGCTGTAAATGTTGTTGACATGTACGCTGTCGACATGACCGTGAGCGATGCGTCGTTGGCTTCAAATGTGACGACTTCCCGGTAGCCGAGAGCCCAGTCGTAGAGGTTGGTCCAGCCGGCGAGCTGCATCGGCACGTCGTCGGCATCGATGACGCGTTGGTGGAAGAGCGAGATCTCGTTCGTTATTGCGTCTTGAAGGTACGCCACAAGGTCCACTGAGAGTGCGTCCACCTCGCTTTGCACGCGCTGGGCCTGCGCCCGAGTCGCCTGCAGATACGCAGGTGCAAAGTACGACTTCAGAAAGGACGAGACGCTTGTGAGCATCGCGCGACAGTCGGAGGGCGACACGGCTTCGACCTCGCACGTCGATGGTATACGCGTCACGGCCTCCAACGCGACGCCGGACGCGACCAGCGCAAATAAGATCTGGTCCTTGGAGGTGTAGACCCACTCGCCAAAGCCGACGTTGCAGGGAACCCCAAAACCAAAGTAGGCCGAAAGACCGAACGAGAGATTGCCCGATGAAAGAAGCGCGTTGCACAGCAAGTTGCTGCCGGCCGAGTACTGCGAGGTCGCGTTGAGGGAGCTCGGCACGGCGACGAGGCCCTGCATGGTCACGAGTTGGGAGTAGGCGGCCTGCGCTGTGTACGTGCCGTTGCCGTCGGTCGTATTCATCAAGACACTTCGAAGCGCTTCGTGCACGTCGCGCACTAGGGCTGCTAGCGAGGCCGGGTAGGCTACATGACGCAGATCCACCGACCCGAACGCCCCGAGGTGAGACTGAAACACGTCGTAGGCGGGGTCCAGCGGCGCACTCATCGAGCCGTTGCGATAGTAGACGTCGAGTAATGAGGTGTTGGTAAAGGCAAAGCGGGGGCTGATTCGCAGCAGCGACTTGCCCGTGACGCCCGAGTCATTGGAGGCCAGCGCCCAGAAGTCACTCGCCAAATTCCAATACATTTTGTACGACGTCTGCGTCCCAAGATGGAACGAGCCGTTCGAAGCTTGAAGCGTCAACGGAAACGCGAGCCCGAGCGCTGTGACGACGTTGAACGTGTTGATGACCCCCGCCGCCTTGTAGTTTTGCCAGGCGGTCGAGTAGGACGCAAGCCCCTTGCTTGTCCAGTAGGCGACCTCGTCCGCCTCCGAGTTGGCGTTGGACTGCGTCACTTGAAGCCACTTGCGACCTCCGAGGTCTTGGCGCAAGTCGGCGGCGATCCCCATATCGAACGCTTGGCCCCAACACACCTCAAAGCCATCCCAGTCGGCGTTGCGCAGCGGGGCCTCCAAGTAGACAGCCGCATTCGCCGCGTACTTGGCAGCACATCGCACCTGGCGCGCCGCCGAGTTGGCCATCGCCCAGCGCTTGTCAAAGTCGACCCAGCAGTACTGTGTCGCGATCCACGGTATAAGGCACGGGTTCGTCGCGCGCAGCCCGAGGATCGCCACGTGCAAGTCGCTCGCGGTTTCAAAGTGAATGCGGCGCGGAAGCATGTCGGTGACCGTAACAGTGGTCGTGTTGGTCGCATACGAGTTCATATCGGCGTACTGGTGCAGGTCCAGCGGTCCATCCTCGAGCGATGGTGTGAGCCAGAGGTACCGGTTGAACCAGTTGGCCACGTACGTCTGTGTGCCACTGGTGTTGAATGTGACCCACCAGAGGTCGTTGGCGAGGTTCACGGACGAGAGCTTGAGGTAGTACAAGCTACCCCCGACGGTGGCGAAGAGGTAGCCGAGGCCGAGACACACCTTGACGACCGCCATCCGCCGGTTTGGCGACGCCACGTGCGTCTGCGACGGGGCCGTCATAGGCACAACCTCCATGCACGGTCCGGCACTCGACTTTTGAAAGCTCATCCAGAGCTTGGTGTCAAAGATGAACTCGCGGTGGCGCCATGAAAAGCGAAAGACGCCCATCATGCACCCGAGTGCCGGGTCGATGGTCCACGCGTCATCGCCGGGCAGCTCCAGAAAGGCTTCGGCCGCCGCCGACGTCAGCGTCGACGCGCGTCGCATGCGAAGCCGACGTGGCACCCGCATGCTCGCCGTGACGCGCACGAACAGGATGCTGGTGAGGCTGGCGACGCCGTTGATGGCGACGATGAGCAAAATACGATGCAACGAGCCAAACGTGACGGTGCCGCTCGTGCATTGCAGCGAGAGCATGACGCCGCGCTGCGAGCACGTCCGGTCGATCACGAGGGTGGGCCGAAGCGGCCAGAGGAGTTCGAGAAGAAGCGTGAGAGCCCATACGGAGAAGCTGCTGAGCGCCGCCGAGAGCGCAGCTTCGTTCGGTGCAAACACCAAGAGGACATCGGTGAGGACATATGTGAGCCACGTGGCTTCGCCAGTGACGACAGCGGCGTGCACGAGCGACAGCGGGGTCAAGACGAAGCGACCGACGTTGTCGTCCGAGACAAACGTCGTGCTTGGGGAGCTCAGAAGGACGAGGGCTGTGACGGCGCGGATGAGTAGCATCGGCCGGCCGATCCACACCGGACCTGCAACGCGGTTGAAACAGAACAGCTCGTACCCACGCAGATGGCAGTGGCCAACCAGCGTATACCCGATGGTCCCGAGCGCCACAAGCACCAAGAGGGCGGTGGTCACGACCGCGATGTACCAGAGATAATAGCACGTACTTGCGGGCACCTCGCGGGCGCTTGGCGCCATCGACAGCGTCGGCAACGGCTCCGACATGAGCACCATCGTCGACACGTCGCCTTGGAACGAGACCACTTCGCGGTAGCCGTAGACCCAGTCAAAGAGCATGAGCCATCCAAAAAAAGCAAAGTCATCCTCCAGTAGCGGCTGGTGAAGCACGAGGTTGTCGCTGCCGTTGACGGTCGCAAACTGAACGACCTCGACACGCAGGTCCTTGACGTCGGCCACGACACGCTCCACGAGGCGTGTGAGCAGCGGCATCGTCAGCGGTCGCAGCGGTTCGGTGAGCGCTTGCGTTGCGCTGAGCGCATCGACGCAGCGGGCGCTGGTGCTGACGCACTGACGACAAATCGCAGAGACGAGCGGGTCGTTGGCTCGCACGAGCCGCAGTGCTGTCATTGCAAATGCCTGACCTGGTGCGCCCAGCAGAATCGAACTGGCGACCTGCGCCGCGCACGTGTCTTCAAATGAAAAGGACTGCTGGACATAGCCCGAGCCCGCGTACGTAGCGCAGATCGGACTGCCGCCATAGTACGTCGTGTTGGGAAGGCGCCAAGACGACGGAACAGGGTCCAAGGGCACTGTGATCAGTTGCCGAAAGGCCGCCCAGAGGGTGGCATTGGCCTGCAGCGCCGTTGCCACCACTGCCGTGTGCGACGAGACAAGCTCCTGCAGCGACGCTGGCGGTGGGAGGAGCCACATATCGATCGACACGAACGGTCCAAGGTGATCGTGGAGAATGACGCTGCAGGGCGTGTACGGGTAGAGCCCCAGGACCGTCTCGACGGTAGCCGACGGCCCGACTGAGTTGTTGGCGATAAAGTTGTGTGCACTGCGCACGAGGCTGCCGTTCAGAACGGAGGAGGCCCAGAGGTCGTTGAAGAAGTACCAGTACAAGATGGACGTGGTCCAGAGTGCATCTACCACCATATGACCATCCTATTCTTATGTATCAAGTTGATAGTACCGCGGCTCGCATATGGGATTTTGGTCGTTGAGAGCGCTTGCTCCCAGCCAAAAGCGTTCGTGATGGAAATGGTCTCGTGGATCCCGGTGGTGAAGATGTTGCCCCACTGCACGGTGTAGTGCGTGAGCCCATGCTCGGACCAAAACGTCAGATCACTCTCGATCGAGTCAAAGGCGTCTTGGACACTGTCGAGCCACGCAGCGCCACCAGGTGACGCCACGACAGCGTCGCCCACCGAGAACATGAACGACGGGCCAAACCGCGCAAAGAACGTCGCCCAGTTGACGCAGCGAAAGGTTGGCTCAAGGTACACGGCGCCGTTGGCGACCAAAGCGGCGCAGCGCTCTTGGCGCAGCGCTCTTGGCGCGCCTGGGTGTGCGCAAGCTCCCAGCGCCGGTCGACGTCCACGTAGCACGGCTGTGTCGTGATCTGGAAGATGGCCCAGGTGGGCAAATTGCGCAGCGCTGTGATGCCTTGTCGAGGCGTCGTCAGATGGTTGGACACGAGCGACCGCGGGTACGAGGGCTGGACGTCCAGCATCGTCGACGGCGTGTCGTATGTTCGAAGGACGGCGTTTGAGACGTTGAGGACATCGATGACACCACTTGACGTGGTCCAGAGACGCACGCGGTAGAGGTCCAAGAGGTAGGTTTGCGCGCCGTGGAGGGCAAAGCCAGCCCAGAAGAGGTCGTTCTGGAGGTACGGGTAGAGGATTTTGAGGTAGTAGACGCTACAGGCCATCGAGACCACAATGTAGCCAAGGCCGAGGAGACACTTGGCGCGGCGCATGTTCGTTGCACAAGGCTATATCTGACAAAAGCGTTTTCTGTATCTCGGGGGTAGGGTTGTGTAAACCATTATAGTTCGTTAAATAGTGTATATATATTGATTGAGGGAGTTTTCTAGGACGACTCGGACGACTTCCACGCGTGGCGCTCGATGCGGCCTTTGCCCACGAGGTCGGCGAGGTCGCGCGCAATGTCGGACGCGGTCGGTCGCTGGTTCGGGTCGGCGTGGAAGCACTGGCGCGCCAGCTCCAAAATGGCTCTGGGGCACGTCGCCGTCATGGCCGGGCGGAGGTTCTCGTGCATGACCTTGTTCAAAATCGCGATCGCGGGGAACTTCCACTCGTGGTACAAGCTCTTGTGGGTGTCCATCTCGGCGAGGACGCACCCGAACGAGTAAATGTCGGCTTGCTTCGTGTACTTGAGGCCCTTCATGACCTCGGGCGCCGAGTAAAAGGCCGTGCCGACGCCTGCGGTCAGCGTATCGTCGTTGATCTGCTCGCGCGAGATGCCAAAGTCTGAGAGCTTGGCGTGCGGGAGCGCGAGGAGGATGTTCTTGCTCTTGAGGTCGCGGTGGATGATCGTGGGTTCGAGGAGCTCGTGGAGGTACTGCAGCGCACGGGCGACGTCGAGGGCGAACACCATCTTGGTCGACCACGGCAGCACGGGGTTTGCGAGCAAGTACGCCTTGAGGTCGCCCTCTGGAAGGTACTCGGTCACGGCGCAGAGCGTCGACGGCGACGTCAGATCCCACGCAAAGCCAAGGAACGCGACAATGTTGGGGTGCCGGAAGTGCGCCATGAGCCGAATCTCTTCAGCGAACGCCTCGACAACACCCTCGATCTCGATCCGGATCGACTGGATGCGCTTGATCGCAATGCGCTTCTGGCGGTACTGCCCGAGGTACACCTCGCCAAACGCACCAGCGGCGAGGATGCGGATCCAGTCGAGCTCCTTGTACACGAGCTGCTTGCATGCGACGGACGGGTCGCGGTAGAGCTCATGAAGCGCGACTTCGACCGACGACCCGGAGCGCGCAAACGACGGCGGCTGCTGGGCGGGCGACGGCGGCGTCGTAGCCTCCATGTAGCGCGAGGGGTCGGTGCTGCCGTCCACGATCGGCTGCTCGTACTTGGGCGAGCTTGGCGGCGACGGCGCGTGTCGGCGGCGGCGCCAGAGGCAGCAGCCAAGCAGTGCGAGGAGCACAACACCGCAAATGGTTGCGATCAGCACAATGTTGGTCGTCGAGAGACCACCCGTACTGTCCTTGGCCGGCAGCGATGCCTTGACCGCAGTGAGCCACGATGTCATGGCGGTCGACGGTGTCGGCAGGCATGTGTTGAGGCTCTCTGGACGGTTGTTGCGGGGTTCGCAGGGGATGATGCGCGCGGCGGGCCGGCTCGGACACGTGCTCCACGCTGCTTCGGGATACAAGCTCACTGGCAGTGTATGGATCGCGAGCTTGGTCCAGCCAGCGGACTTGTCTTGGTGCCGCCACACACGCGGCTGCGGCACGTCGCTCGGGCCCAGGCCGTCTTGCGCGAGGAGGCTCGACGAGCCGTCTGGGAGGTTCTGGAGGTCCATTGCGCACTTGATGACGTCGTCAAGGAACGTGCCCGTCGCGGCCTCTTGCCGCAAGAGCGAGACGGTGGCGCCGTTGACGCTGGCAGGGCACGATCGCACGGTCTGCGACGACGGGTTCGCCGCCGTGAACTCGTCGAACGTAAGGCTAATGTTGGCCATGCCCATGCCGCACTTGGTGTACACCTGCAGGTAGGCGTCGGTGCCGCTGACGTTGCCGACGACGAGGCCCAAGTCCCAGAGCAGCGCTTGACGCACGAGTGTCGGCAGCACGTCCCACGTCAGGCCCAGCGGCGCGAGGCGCGCCGTGACCGTCTCTGGCACTGGCGCCGGGAAGGCCACGGCGCCAGCATTGACCTTGCGCTCGTCGAGGGACCGGAACCGGGCCACGTAGTCCGCGCTCTCTAGCCACTGGGTCATCGCTCGCAGAAGAATTATAAAGGCAGAATAACATCGACGCGCGTAACTTCGAACTTCGATCCTGGAGCCGCCCCTTGGACCCAAGACCTCGCACAGTACCAGGTACTAGTATTGAATACATACGAGTACGCTTATCACTGTGATGTGCAATCGCGCAAGGCGCTACACTTCGTGGCGACGCCAGGTGCTACGTCGGCCGTACTCGCCTTCTACGCTGCCACGTAGCCTCAGCTCGTCGCACGCAGCTTCTGAATCTGCCACGAGGGCGGTGGATCGACAGCACAGGAAGTGGCGGCTGCTGGCTACTACTACTGTACGAACGCGTGCGCGACGGCATTGCGGTGCCATGTCTATGCTAACGTACGCTCTTGCAACACAGAGCGCCGTAGCCTTCGAAGTTCGAAGGTGGACCGACGGGCAACGCTTGTCACAGCGACGACACCACCTCCTTGCACAGGCTCGCAGGTCTCGCCCGACCTTACCGATAGCAGAAGGCTCACAAAGCCGAGCCGTCAATGATTCTAGCAGCAAGGCCATACGAGTACGCGAACACTAGCTCGTATTTGTTGGTGGCTAAACCTACGACGCGATGGCTCAGGTATACAGGACGTCTTCCAGGTCCCGCCGCTGCAGGAGATCCCGCGCCTTCTCCGAGCCGAGCTCGGATGGCGCCATGTGGCGCAGCTCGTCCGTAAGCAGCTTGGTCGCGCGGTTGCCACTGCGGACTGGCGGTTCGTGCGACGGCGCCATGAACGGCGTGGCACTGATGCGAAGTCCGGGGGCGCCGACGCCGGCGATAGGGTCTTCCTCGACGACGACTTCGTACTGCTCGGTGCAGACAAGCCCGACAAAGACGTCGCCGGCTGCATCGCGGTGCATGGCAACCTTGGTGAAGAGCGTGTGCACGTCGCGTGTGTAGGCGCCGCGGTACACGAACGAGAAGCAGTACTCGTCGTCGATGTCCTTCCACTGCAGCACGCCGTTGTGGATCGGAAATGGCTTGTTGTAGTGGTTGAAGCGCACCTTGGCGCTGCCGCAGCTGTCGTCGCCTTGGGCTGGCGCAGCGAGCAGCCGCGTCGCCATCTCGCGCACCGTTTCGGGCAATGGCGCAGGCGGTGATCGTGCCGTGGTCGACTTCTTCTTGCGATTTGCTGGTTTGTGCGACGGGAGCCTTGGGAGGCTTGACCGCGCCTTCTTTGGCCGGGCTACGGCTGCTGGCGCTGCGCCACGCGCAACCAACGGCTTGGGCTGCACCAGCATGCGGGCTCATGCACCGCGCCGGCCAGTTGCAAAACCGGCCTTTCTCGTTGGCGGTTTCATGTTCAAGACAGTGTTTCAGACAGTGTAAAATACTGGTTGAAGCGAATGACAGACGCAGCAGTTCTTTGTGACGAGCGTCTCTCCTTGCTCTCCTTGGCTGGACACTGTTGGAAGTGACGACACCCCCTCGTGTAGGTACCTCGGAGCCCTCATGTTGCGCGCAGGACCTCCCGACCAAATGACAGCCTTGTCTGGCACATAAGCGATAAATTTGCGCTGGAAGCAACGCCAACGGCTGCTGCGTCTTGCGGCCACTGCCCAGGACCTCGCCAGAGGACAGCGGACGGTAAGCGAGCCTCGTACATGCGTCCGTGCGGATTTACGGCCATGGGCACGGGTGCACCGCCACGCGGGTTCGTCACATTATTTCAGAATGCATACTTCAAATAGTGTGAATATGAATACCGGATACGCAGGGTATCCGGACGTTGCGATCCCCACCATTAAAATTGCCACAACCAAAGTCGACGAGGAAGATGCGTCACCGTATCGCGATGCGCCGCTTGGGCCGTGATGGCGAGCACCGCTGGGCCATGCTCCGCAACCAGGTCACGTCGCTCATCGAGCACGAGCGTATCCGCACGACGCTGCCCAAGGCCAAGGAGCTTCGCCGCGTCGCGGAGCAGGTCGTGACGCTCGCCAAGCAGAACGACATCTGCGCCCGCCGCCAGGCGCAGGGCATCGTGCGCACCAAGACCGAGTTCGACAAGCTCTTCGACACGCTCGGCCCGCGCTACATGGACCGCGCCGGTGGCTACACGCGTATCGTCAAGGCCGACTTCCGGTACGGCGACAACGCCGAGATGGCCGTCATCGAGTACATTGACCGCCCGGGTGAGCTTCGCCGCGCCAAGCCGGGTACCGCCCACCTCGCCAAGAAGCAAGAAGAGTAGATTTGTATGAATGGAATAAGGTAGACACACTTGAACCGCGTGTACGCACTTTTGCTGCATCCTACTTGGCGCGCTTCGACGGCGTCATCATGCTCGGACTGCTCCGATTGCTGTTCGCGCCGCTCACTGCGCCCTCGCCGTTGGTCGGTGGCCGCTTGGCGCCTATCGTCCCATGAGTCACACTTGTCATCATCATCATGCCACGTTGGCGCACCTCGCTTGAACGAATCGAGCTGGCGCTCCGTGTCGCAGAGACGCTCGTCGATCACCAATAGGAGGTTCTGCACCTTGCCCACGCCACGTCTAAGAAGGACGTTATCTAAGTGCTAAGGTTAATTTTATGACGCCCACACGGGCTCGTTTCCATTTTTGATATGCGCTCACAAGGACGCAGGATGCAGGAAAACCTTTGACAATGGATATGACGCATCAGCCGGCATCTTACGCAGCGTCATTGGCACCACGACAACTACGGCGGGTACACCTAGTGCCAATTTTCGTCGTTTCTCAAGCTGTCGTTGGCTCGCGACGCATGCGTAGTCGCTGATGTGGACGCAGCGTGCAAGCAAACCTCTGAAATTAATACGATCAATTTGCCGACATCTTGAATAGCTCCTATTGCGGCGTACATGGCACACCGTGTCGGGGGATCCGATTCATGGCAAAACTCGATTTTTCCCGAGCGATCTTTGGGGTGAAAATGATTTTACAAGCCATCTAACTTCCGAAAATAGAAGAAATTGCTTCACTTGGCTCCGCGCGGATTGGTGCAGCATTCGGTGAATCTTCCCCAAGAGAAGGACACGTTGTGCAGGAAGGGCCACCAAAGTCGAGCCATCAAGACAAAGGCATGGGCATGCGCCGTCGACGGGCAAGTGGCGTTAGCAACCGAGCCCAAAGCGGTGGCTTGCAGGTACGTGTGTCGTGTCCAAGCAATCCTCGGGCGACGATGCCTCCAAAAGATTCCTTCGTGGCCGCCGACGTTGCGCATCGCAGGTGTCAAAGGCGAGGACGCCACGTCGCAGTCGTCGTCTTCATAGGGTATCCAAGTGTATGGATCATCGCCCATGGCTGCACTTGGCGAGATGCAAAGCAATGCAGCGGATCAGTCCGCTGCATGGCTCGTTCTCGCCGGTCAACAAGAAGAGGATGCTTGTGCCGGAATAATCACCACGACGCACAGTAGCACCGGGCTTTTCTGCTTCTCGAAACAGCATCCCGTGGCCACTGCTATTTGTGGCGTTTGAACTTCTTGTCGGCCACCACGGCCACCCGCTTGCAGTACAAGGCAGTTGGTGTCTGACACACTCGTATCTTTATACACAAATATGAACACGGCAAATTTTGCCTGGCGGAAGATGGGCCAATCAACCACGAGCGTGGCCACAAGGCGTCAGACAGCATGGCCTCGCGAAGTCGCACCAAAAAGCAACTGGTGTACACATTGCATACATAGATCAAGTCGAAATATCCGTGCCATGTCCCATGCTTGAAACTTTCATGGTCTGCCCTACCCCTGTCATTGACAAGCCCGTGTAGAGGTGCCTCCAATCTCAAACCTTCTTCATTTTCCA